CAGAAATAGTATCCCTTGGCAGCCGGCTGGCGCGCGCCAATGACAGTCGCGCGCGGAGGCGGCGGCCGAGCACCGAACTATATATATACTGAAATGGTCATCGAGGAAAATTCGTGGCCGCAACTGAGCAGCCGCCATTTTGAGTGGGTCAAATATTTGAGCAAATCAGAAGCGTTTGCGCGCGCGTTGCGATCGATGTATCGATCGATGTACTCATGATAAAAATACAAGGGTATGCTCATCAATTGTCTAAAACTCGTTCAGCTTGCGCATGTCCTTGCCTACGTCATATTCGGGTACGCGTTGATTGGTCGGTTCTGATTCGGGTGCAATCGGTGGTTATCGGTCGTAATTTATCATGGCGTCCATGGCGTAGTGCACGTTGTCATCGGTAGAAGTTAATGTTAAAAATATTTTCACGATGACCTGCATAGTGAAAGGATGCGGCAATTATATGAAAAAAACAAAAAAAACTGAGGGAAGTAAAATTAAATATTTTACCTTTCCAAAACAATCTGAAATTGCTGAACAGTGGCGTAAGCCACTCGTTGTGACGTAAGCAAGGACAAAAATCTGATTGGTCATGCGCATGAGCATACCCTTGTCTTTTTATCATGGATGTACTATTGATGCATGGAAATCTATATGGACATGAATGGTGTATAAATAAAAAATAATATCACTTCAGTTTTATTAGTACATTCAATAAAATAACTTCAATAACACTTCATATCCTACATCGTTAACACATATGCAGGAATTGATATATTTAATACAAAAATTTTTACCTATAAAATGAAAGGTTCTTTTTACTTCTCTGCCTACACCCAAGCACACAGCATTTCATGTTGATGCTTTGTAGACAGTCACGCGATTTTATAATCCTTCAAATATAACCTCACACACGATAATCTTGCTGACATACGCGTCTTACTTCTTCGCGTGAGAATATGCAGAGTACGAAAGTCTAAAAGAGTAACAAACTCAATTGCGCGTTTGAAACCGGTCACACTTTCCAAAAGATGACACAATAATACCGATCACGTCGGTAGATGACCACCGTCTTATATGCCATATGCGTCTTACTAAAGAACACTAAACGTAAGTACGCATGAGCACCTGAAAGCTTCTGATTCGCTCAAATATTTGACCCAATTAAAATGGCGGCTGATCAATTGCGGCCACGATCTTCTATGTTTCACAGCGGAGATGCCCATTCCAGTGTATATATAGTTCAGTGCGGGGTTCAGATATACTGAAGATAGCTCGAAGTGAAGTCGAAACGTCTGACTTATCGTAATATGAAATAAATCTTTTTTATTGCACGAATTACCGCGATTAAAAACTCTCATTAGCCCTCTATTTGTTTTTTATTTATGACATTTTCGAGAGTTATTGTTATCAATTTGTACTTATGATATATTAATTACTAAATATTATTGAAAACCAATATCGCTAAATATTGGTTTTTAATAATCATTTACTCAAACACTATCAACTTTACAGAAAAGCAACAAAAGACAAAAATTGCTTATTTTCTTCTCATAAAGTTCTAAGAATTTTTTCAGAATTTTTTAATATTGTACTTTCTCAT